ACTTTTGACCCGCTGCAAGCGCCCGATCCTCGCTATGGACTGCACCAATCAGCGATTCGCCTATTATTGCGACGAAAAATCTATTGCGGTGGACTTTCAGTGAAAGCTTTCTCCGTCATTATCAGAAAAATCTGAACAAGAATTAGAGGAAGAAGTTCAGGAGGGATATCACCAGACTTTTAAGCGTATGTTTGAAGAAAATGGAACATATTCAAGTCCGGATCGTCGATGGCCTGCCATGGCGACTTGAGCGGGTGGCGGATGGTTATCCGTCGGCCTTCCTCATCCCAAAGGCGCGGCGGCTGGAGGTCCTCCAGTTTATCGAGAACCAATCCGAGCACATCATCAAACGCGCTAAGTCCTTTATGGAGGTCTTGGGTTATCTCCCCGAAGGAGCCCGAGAAAAGGAGGCTGGAGCACCAAATCGCCACCGGGATTTCATCTCCTTCCTGCGCAAATCATTGCAGTATATGTCAACCCATCCCCTTGCTAAGTTGAGCTTGGTGGAGCTAAAAAAACACCCAAGCGTAAAAGAGCTCTATGCCTTGTTCGAGAGCCACTCCAAGCTTATCAATGAAGAGTCACTCCAAAGCGTTGTCAAATTCAGGTTGCTCATCATCATCATCATCATATCTTTTCTCACCAATGGGTGATCCAAACTCGGGCTGTTTCGTTACATTCCCTGAGATCTTGATTTGTACAACGGGGACCTTGTGGGCATTCAGAGAAGATATGGTCCATGGTTTGATTGGGATGGCCGCAAGGGCAGGCACCGGTTGGAGTGAGGATCCATTTGAGCAGAGTTGCAGCTGTTTTTCCCACTTTGGCTCGGGCTCTGTTGAGGGCTACCCATTCTTTCCTTTGCAGGTCGGTTCCTGTTGGTAGTTGTTCGCCAGGGTCTTTGGTGGCCTCGTTGGGGTGATCATCCCATTCCCTCCATGCTTGGAGTCTGCTGGTGGCCGATATGTTTGGATCCAGGCTGTCCACTGTTCTGAAGCTCTTCCTTGATTTCAGTCGACTGTTTGGGTATCTGTGGCCAAACATTGGATGCCTCTCGTCGGTTTCTTGTACATATTTTTGCACTCCGGCTTGAATTTCTCAGCGGATGTGTGGCGGGGCGATCCCAGTTGTTCTGTAGAGCAGTGGCAGTGGTGTGGGTCTTAGTTGTCCGGTCACGATTCGACAGGCATTATTTAGTTCTGAGTCGATTTTTTTCGCATGGCATGATCTAGCCCATACAGAGGAGGCATATTCAGCTGAAGAGAAGCTTAGTGCCATGGCTGTCGTCCGTAGTGTTTTTGGGTCTGCTCCCCAGGTAGAATTTGCCAGTTTGCTGAGGAGGTTATTTCTGGTCGCAACCTTGGCTTTTACGTTCTGCACATGCTTTCCAAATGACAGGGTCCGGTCGAGGATCACTCCTAGGTACTTTGAGTGACAGTCGTTTTCAAGAACTTGGCCGTTCCAGGTAATGTTGAGCTTCTTTCCTGCGGCATGATTGTTCAGGTGGAAAGCACATACTTGAGTTTTCCCTGGGTTGGCGTTTAGAGCGTTCTTTGTATAATAGTTGTTCAGTCCCTCAAGTGCATCTGTTAGTCGTGTCTCGATCGTCTCAAGGGATGTAGATTGAGTTGCCAGGCAGAGGTCATCCGCATATATGAATCGTCGAATGTCGTCAAACTCTGGTTGGTCATTGGTGTATATGTTGAACAAGGTAGGGGCAAGGACCGAACCCTGGGGAAGTCCATTCTTCTGGTTACGCCACCTGCTCTTTCTTCCATCTAGTTCAACAAAGAAGCGCCTGTTCTCTAGTAGGGACTTAATGATAGAGACGATTTTTTTGTTCTTTATCTTACTCATAAAATTGCAGACTCAGAATTGCACACTTTTGCGTCTAAAAGTTTGTGTCTGTGAGCGTACTGTCTATGAACTTATACAGGCTCAGTTATATGGTGTAATGTGGTTCATGAAAAGCATCACAATACCACTTGTTCTTCCTTGCACACTTGAATAATTCAGGAATTACTGTTTTTTCATTTTCAAGCAATAAAAAACTTTACGACACGGCTGATAACGCAGAAAGTGTAAATGCAACGCAAACTAGTTTGCACACCTAGTAGAACGCTTCCTTGTACAGCATTAAACTTGTGCGAATTCCGTAAGAGTTACATTAATGCCATGTGCTTCATTTCAATTTCTAATGCTGCATCTCAAGACCTTTTTCTAAAATTCAAATGGGGGGCACTTGATACAGTAAGATTTTTATCTCATGCCTTACTTAGCAAAAACACCAGAAGATTACTTTGTTATAAGACATCTGCCAGAATCCTAGTAAGATTTACTCAAAATTTAATGACTACAAACTTAGTCAAGATTCATCTAGCAGTTGAAAGATATGCATACTGTAGGGGTAGTCCAACACGTTCTCGTGCCTTCATGTGTATTTTTGTTAAGATTTTTCTTACTCACTAAGCCAATGACTAAGGCCTAGTTCAAACCTGGAACTTTACATGAAACGAACCCATTTAAAACAAAAGATAACGAGGAAGCTCATCTCATTTTCTTTTGTCCTTTATCTGTTCGATGCATGTAAAGTACAGATGTACATATCTAATAAATAATTAAATTGTCGTCAGAACAACTAACATTTAACTAACCATAATTTTGCAGTCCGTTAGTTATATTAGTAAATCCAAACTTCATAAGAATTGTGTCTTAATATTTTATTCATTACGCTCAACTATTAAATTACAGTAGATCTATACTTTGGCAGGGGGGAGTCGGAAACATTTCGCATCCAATTTCTATTGCCGAGAGAAATTTCTTAAATAATATCCAAAGCGTGGCTTAAATTTGTAGTTAGTGCACGAAGTTGCCATTTAACTAAGGATATTTCATATGTAGAAGAACTAAAGCTGAAACAGGAAGAACTAAGTACCCACTCAATGCATGTGGGCTTTCCCTATTGGGTCAATCAGGCAATAGCGAGTAACATCTATTTTTCACTGTATACATAAACCAACCTACATAAGCCAATCACAAACCCGTGCTTGATCATATTGTTAGAAAGATACATGCTCTGTAAAAGACAAGCTGTCCATGGACGAAACTAGAACGTTGAGTGTGAATATTCATACATTCAGCATTGCCCGACTGATTTTGTTTGTTAGCGATTTTAATTTCAAAAGGAATCAGTCGGGCAGAGCTCAATATATGAATATTCACTAGAACATTAATAGACCACTTTGGCGGTTTTATTTGAATAAAAACACGTGCTCGCTAAGTGAAAAACTCGGACAAACATGGCGGAAAGTCATAACAATGACTAATTTGCTATATGAAATAGAAATATTTTTCGCTCTCTTGCAAATGTAGCGACGAGCGCTGGATTCGTGCGTGTCATCGAGGTGACAGATTTGTGTGTACGAAAGACAGTTATATTTGCAGTCTTCATTTTGTGGGAGAAAATGGTCCTACTGTAGATAACCCAGACCCTATTTCAGCGATACCAAGTATTGAGAATGTAAGTGTTGACTGCTTTTTTGTCATAAATGTGTGAATTATACGAAAGCTTGCTGAACGTTTTATAAGCTTATACATTCATTTTAAATTCATATAGAGAAGAAAACTATCGGGAAAACGAAAAAAAACAATGACGAGGGTATATAATCCGCCACCAAAACGAGCGTCAATCTACAAAAAAGATGCAGCAGAGGCTCTTCTTTACTTGAGCGAAAGGGAACACGCTAAAAGAGACGCAGCTGACGGCCTCCTATCCGTATGTGAAAATAGTACAACATCCCGTGATATCCAAGAGGACCAAGACGAACTTCTTGTTTTAAAGAAAAAAGATGCTGCTGTTCAAACCAACCTAACTAATGAACATCTTAAAACTTATGCGACTGAGTCATTTGTTAACACCATCAGTATACAGAAATGCATGTTTTTAGAAAATGTGGTTAATGATTCAGCCCATTATACAGGTATAAAATTTCATTTTTTACTTTGTTGATTATAACTAAAAAATCTAGTGGAAATAATAAAGGACTTTGTGAGCTACTCTGAATTAATTTATCTGTAGGCCTACCAGGTGAAATGTTGAAAATACTTTTTGAGTTCGTGAAAGCAAAGGCTTCCAGGCTTATCAAATGGAAAGGGAAGAAAACAGCAAAATATAAACAAGAAAAAAAGAGCAGTGCTAGGGTACAGTAATATATAATCATACATATTGCTCAAGTAAATACTCAAGTTAATAGTTGTGTAATGCAGTTAATAGCTACCTATGTGTAATGAATGATTAGCACTTAATCATTTTATAGATCCACAAAACTTCTACATGGGCTAAACTTTCAGTTTATGAGCAATTTATATTCACATTGGTCAGGATCAAAAGATTCCCTAGTCTCAAGATGTTATGTGATTTATTTGGAATGTCAGAAACTGTTGGTAGCAGCATATTTTTGACATGGGTGAAGTTTCTTGAGAAGGAATTAAAGTTATTTATTCCATTTACCACTTTGAAAGACATGGAAGGAATAACCCTGCCTAAAGTTTACGAATCTAATCCATGTCTTCGTGCAATAATTGATTGCACAGAATTCTATATACAAAAACCTTCTCTTCCTTCAAGTCAACGTCAGACACATAGTAACTACAAAGGCAGAAACACCTTCAAACTATTTATTTCCATGTCACCGCTTCTACATATCAACTATATCTCTACATTGTTCAGTGGTTGCATAAGCGACAAGGAAATCATCAAGAGATGTGGATTTTTGGAAGAGTTAGCTGCAGGGGATGAAGTCATGGCTGACAAAGGATTTAATATCCAGGATTTACTTGCCCTTCAACATGTCCGTTTAATTTCACCTCCAATTATGCATAAAGGTAATGTTGGCACTGGTGCAACAACAATGACAAGGAGAGTGGCTACAAAGAGGATTCACATTGAAAGAATTATTTAACGACTGAAGTCATTTAGTATATTACAAGGTGTAATCCCATTAACAATGAAACCATATATTGATTCTGTTGTGTCTATCTGTGCAGCATTGGTTAATTTGCAACCACAGATTATTGCATCACCTTAAAACATTGTATATAGAAGCTTTAAAAATATACAATAAAATATTCCTTTGTGTTAATAAACTTAGATCAATGCAGAGTAAACAATGTGTGCAAAGTTCTGTGCCATTTATTTCTTTCCATTGTTGCATCCTTGTTACTGAACCATTTATGTTCCATGAGAATGAAATCATTGGGACATTTCTCATATTTTTTCAATATCCTAAAAAATGTTGTGAGATTGAAAAAGTAAGCACTCTTCCCTATGTTATTGCATTGAGTACATCTTTCCTATTATTAGGCTCTAACTTGAAGAAACATGTAGTTTCCATAATTACCTTCAAAAAGTATTTAATAAAAAGTGATACAAAAACAGCACAGAGGTTTGAAGAGATTTCCTGCTGTGGGACCTACCAAATAATGCATATAGCAAGATTTATTTGCACAATATATTTTATTGGTGGTATGATAAGAACTCACTTTTAACATAAGATGAGAACGATGCTTTCTTTTGATGCTGTGCTTTTGAAAGGTGTAGTCCAAATATCTTCAGAATGAAAAGTAAAAATTCTTATCCAACAGTAACATAGCAATGAGAGTAGGCATAGTGCAATGGAAAAACAATTACTGTGAAATATATTCAAATGTAGATTTCTTGTCTTCTTTATCCCAAGTTAAAGAGTCCAGAACAAGGATATGCCTAAATATGAAATTGGTTACTATTGTAACATTACATGCTTTAAAGGAACACATGTAATATAGCAAATGTTGCTTTTCCTACCATGGTGAAATGATGGCCAAAAACCAGTATAGGCTAAAATAATGGAATACGGCTTCAGATAACTACTTACGGTTATACCTCTACTCTGCAGGTAACTTTTTAATTCTGGCAGTTTCATAGCTTTGAATTTCTCTTCACGTAACCTTTCTTCCATTTTAGCGCTTATATTTTGTCCTATTCTATATTTTGTCCTATTCTATATCTTGTCCTATTCTATATTTTGTCGTGCATTTATATAGTAACTAAAGGGAGTGTTCTCCGTCATATCCTGCACGTAATAGTGGGATGACTTAGTTCTTTCTAAGCGCGTTATAGTGCTTTCATGCTTTGTGGTCGGGATTGTGTGGTTAGCTTGTAGCGAGTTGTTGTGCTTACTCACATCGTATATCCGTTGACGCACAACAACTATGACTAAGTTTGATTCGTCGCTACATTTGCAAGAGAGCGAAAAATATTTCTATTTCATATAGCAAATTAGTCATTGTTATGACTTTCCGCCATGTTTGTCCGAGTTTTTCACTTAGCGAGCACGTGTTTTTATTCAAATAAAACCGCCAAAGTGGTCTATTGGGCGGGGTTGTGTATATTCATATATTCAGTTGTGCTCTACTGATTTCTTTTGAAAATCAAATCGCTTTCAAAAGAAATCAGTAGGGCACAACGGAATGTATGTATGTATAACATTCTAGTTACGCCTCTGGCCATGAAGCTGTCAAATTTACAAACATTCTTTAAAATTCTTGAGAAATTAACAAGCTTGCAGCCTTAGGATGTTATTGATCAGGCAGTACAAATAAGTTGCAATTATAATGTACACTTATCAGGTATGAAGGGTGTATCGAAAAAGAAGACTTAAGCAATTGACGATCTGTATTGTGATAATTGTCAATGCCTGTCGTTATTATAAGCCCTCTGGTGCATAAGTAATGCCAGCTACATGTAGGTGCAGGGTATCCCCCAAAACTCCCATCTGTGCAAATTGCGCATCTTTCGTTGAACACGAGTTACGATACTTCTGGGAATTTAACCCTTTATTGCGTGAATTTTTCGCCGTAGTGGTTGCCCTGAAGTAACGCCATGCGGAAAGGGGTTATTCCAACAAAACTCGCTCGCAGCTGCATTTGTAGTGGATTCATTGAACTAAATATAACTGCAAGGCTACCTTCTGATACATCGGTAACACACGAAAAGAAGCCACAATTTTGCGTGGTCTGACTTCCATGCAGACAGACAAAGTGAACAAGTATGTTTATAATCGGAATTTTGGCAAAGCTACAGGAAAGAAAATCATTGTATTTTTTTGGTTTCACAGCCTTTTCTTGTGTTATTAATACAGGAAATTTAAGTTCCCTGCCGAGCAAATATTTTTTTATACAGGAAACTTAGAAATGGCAAAAGTTTGTGCTCGGATTGGTTCTGGCCCGAGTGAGAAGAAACTACGATGTCTTTTGCAAATAGCACTTTAAAACATTGATTTGTTTACGTCCAGGTGCTCTTCAATTGTGTTTTTATGTTAGTCTCGTAATCTCATTAGTAGTTAAACATTTTTTTAGAAATTTCAACATAACAGTCGAAATCAGCTTGTCAAAGTTTGTTAAGTTCGTTTTTTCCTCAAAAAAGATTGCTTTAAAGATGTACTACCATAAAATTATTGTTAGAAATGAGTTGGACAACTTTACATCTCTCTGAAACTATTTTTTGCGATTTATATCCGACTTTATTGCCGGCTTCGGCTTCAAATTTCCTGGCAAAGGTAGTCTTCCATTTATATTTAGTTAAATGAGTGGATTGCATTTATGTTGTAGTGTGTTGTGCGTTGCGGCGCATGAGTTGTGCGAAGACCTTAGTGCACGTACACAGCACGTACGCCACAGTTTCGTATTCCATTAACACTTTGTTGCATGAATTTTTTCGGCGACCGAGCTCCATCTTGTTCGGTGATTTTTCCCCTGAAGCAACGCCATATAGTAAATAGTTAAAATCGTTTCTAAACTGACTACTTCTATCATGGCGATTACTTAATTTGACGAATAAATTTTCTCACTTCGTTTATGAACAATTCAACTCAATTCCCATCAATATACTATAACGCTCAAGAATTATTTTTATAGGGGGACATTTTTTGGGACAACCTGTATGGTACATAAATTTATGAAAAATACAAAAGCTTTCCTATAGTCCTGGGAACCTGACGTAACTTCCCACAACAAAACATTTGACCAGTGGGTTTGACATGGTGATCAGACATTGTTAATTTCGCAATAGGTTACCTTCTAAAGTCTTTATTTTTTGATACACCCTGCATGATAAGGTTGAGATCTAAACAAGTTTATGTGCGTCGTGCTTTAGGAGCCAGGTACTACAATTGTACGAACTTATCACACTAAACTACTCATCTTCGAAATCAGCCTGTACTATTTAGCATCTGCATGATTCAGTAGTAAATGAGGCTTTCATGTGTAGTCGCATTTACAATTTGCATATGTAGTCGCAATACTTATATACTATTGTTATTGGATTGCGTTTACGACTCTTTGGGGATCAATTATTTCTGAATCATGCAAATTCTATCTAGACGTCGGCTGTTTTCAAAGAAGAGCAGTTTTTGAGACACCCTTTGTAGTTGCTGAAATCAGGCAAGCTAGCTAGATTTGAACTGGTTAGTCTAACTGCAAGAAAGCAGGGAAAAGATTTCAAAAGCATGTGAGCTGCTGATGGGTAAGTATAACTGTTAGAATTGATTTAACAGATCCAGATTTCACACCTTAAATGACCCCGATTTATCGGCATGAATGTGGGTCTAAGCGTCAACTAAAAAGGGCAAGTACACTGATCAAAACATTCAAAATACGATATTTAATATAGGTATGATTTGAATGTCTTCTCGTTATTGCAGGATGAATTGATACGTTTTAATATTGCTAGTTCTTCTATACTGTGTGTGGGTCAATGGCTTACAGGTTTTTGACGACTTGCATTTTTTTATAATGCCCAAACGTCCCAGCAAATACTAATGATTATGCAATATGGAGAAACTTTCACTATCGCTTGAAAAAGACTGATCATACAATGAGTCCAAATGATTTCAGCCAACGCGATATAAATGTGATAACGGCGACCAACAACTTTATAAAGGAAACACAGGGTAAATTTGGGAATGCTCACTGAAGCTAATTTACAGAAGAACAAGAGTAGCATAGCTCAGTGACATACAGGGAATTGGCAAGCGTTGGGTGTGCGAACACCCATGTAATATTGCTATCTTTTACTTTCAAGTATTCTTACAATAGTGCTCCCTGTACTGTCCTAACAAAACCTATAACATATCAAATTGTTCTCCATGTCTTATATCTACTTCTAAAATTACTAACTTTAACTATCCAAATGTGCAATGGGCTATCCATAGGTATCGGCTTGAAATGTGAAACATTTCTCGTTATAGAGCGCCCATCTTTGCATCGTACAGTTACTCGAGAATGATGTCTGCTTATACTACTTTACATGGTGTTTCGTTAAAACGAGGTGTTAGATTGTCTTGTCTCTGTTGCCTCACAAGGACATAATCGCCAACTTTTATCTGACTGTTCTTTATATTTCGCTTGTCATCAGCATATTGTTTGTGGTATGCTTTCTGGCCCGTTTCGTTCTATTGCATTTCTTTATGGCGATTGATGGTGTTCCTTTTTTGAGCGATTGGCAACTTTCCCTTAACCATTCTGTTGAATAACAGTTCGGCGGGTGGAACCCTAGTTGTTGTGTGAGGTGTTATACGGTATTGTAACAGGAATCTGTTGAGTTCTTGTCGCCATGGAGATTTTCAATTCTTGCAGTTTTGAGTGTTTTACCAAGAGGTTGCATAAATCTTTCTGCTTCAGCATTTCCTTGGGGTTAAAAAGGGGTTGAAAATTTTGCTTTTATTCCCAACGCTTACAAATAACGAGAATATTCTTCTTTGTTAAATGGTAGGTTATTATTTGTCTTCACAACATATGATATGCCGTGGGTTGCAAAGATCCTGTCTAGCTTTGGAATCACTACGGAAGCTTTTGTTGACTTCAAAACTTCCACTTCGGGAAACCGTGAATATCTGTCAATGGCTACCAACAAGTATTCCCCTGAATTTAATGGTCCACAAAAATCAAGATGTAGAGTCTTCCATGGTCCAATGGGCATTTCTGTCATAACTAGTGGTTCTTGTGACGTTTGTTTGCACACTGCTTGACATGGGATGCATCGATCATTTGTTTGTTTCACCATGTTGTCAATGTTGAGAAACCAATTTTTTTCTCGTAACAGCGCTTTTTTTTTTTAAATTTCTAGATATGTCTCATGAACGATGTCGATTCCCCGTTGTTGTAGTGATTTTGGGACGATTATTCTGGAACCATGTAGAATAATGCCAATCGTCGTTACTGTCAGCTCATATTGAATAGCTTTATATGGTTCGACTAAGTCATTATTCCATTTGCCTGATCTTATTGCAGCTTTGGGGACAAGTAGCAAGGCTTCACGTGCTGTCCCTGATTTCGACTGATTGCTACAACACGCGTAACACTTGCAAACTTCCAGCCCGAGTTTGGATCGCCCTGGCGCGAAAAGATATGATGATGATGATTGCAGCTTTTACCTCTTTTAACTTTTTGTCCGCATCCGTTCCTGTTCACGGTCATTGCTGTTAGTACACTGCTCTTTGCAATGTAATTGACAAATTCTTCTGTCATTTTCTCTTACTTTAAGGAGGTTCTTTTCGGGTTTCTTCATAAATAGTCAGCGGGATTGTGTTTGCCAGGTTTATAGATCACTTTAAAAGAATATGTTTGAAGACGCAAAACCCATCGTTCTATACGCGCTGATGGTCTTGAATTACATTTCCCATTTATTACTTCCAACCGTTTATAATTGGTTATTAGGGTGAATTCATGATCATAAAGGTACATATGAAAGTGTTCAACTCCTCATATAATAGCCAGCGCTTTCTTTTCTGTTTGGGAAAATCTCTTTTCCACATTTGCCCGACTCGCATACGCCAGGACCTTTTTGCCATTTTTGTCCTTGTTCTTTTGTGATAGTATTGCCGAAACTCCAACGTAACATCAACAGTAACATATGTTTCTTTTTCTTCGTCGAAATATGCCATACATTGAGAAGATAATGGCGCTTTGGTTAGATCATCGAAGGCTTTTTGGTGTTGCTCTTTTCCTTAAAACTTTGCATTTTCCTAGTGAGATTACGTAGCGGACTTGTTATTGTTGCAAAATTTGCGATGTACTCACAGCTGTAGTTTGCCATACCCAGTAGACTTTGTACATCATGCACACTTTTTGGAATCTCCGCTTTTTGCAAATCCTGTACGCGTTTTGG